GTGGACCTCTAAGCTTCTTTAGTCATCAGACAGGAAACAGACGAGTGAAGCTGTAGAACCGGAGCAGAACCCTGGTTTAAATATGTTTGGCCTGTTTGTTCTCACCAGAGTTTATTTAGATTTTTACAGATGTAGAGATTCGAGTTTTTAGGATTTTTTTTTCATGTAAACATGTTTCCAACATTTTAGTCATTTTAAAAACATTTTATTTACATTTTTTAAAACATTTGTGACACATTTAATTCATATTTTTTGCTCATTTTATTTTTTTAAAACAATTTTTGCACATTTTGTTTATATATATATTTTGTCTGTTTTTATACATTTAGTTTGTATCATTATTATTATTGTTATTATTATTATTATTATTATTATTGTTATTGTTATTATTATTATTTGAACATTTTATTTCTGTTTTTCACATTTTCTTCACATTGATTTACTCGTTTTCTCTCTGGTTCGGTTCTGTATCACTGACCCGATCACCAGCTGGAAACCAAAGACAAAATAAAATGGCTGTTGAATCAGAAGGTAGAACCAGAGTTCTGGTTTTGGTTTGGATCAGGTCCAGGCCCTCAGTCTTCGTCTCAGTTCAGTCGTTTAGTTTCCAGTCGAGCTGCAGCCGGTGAAAAGTTCTGGTTGTGTTCTGTCCAGTTTGTGACCCTGAACCCGGCGCTGTGTGTCTCCACCAGAACAAGAGGAGAACTTTGAGTTCACCATCGTGTCGCTGACGGGTCAGTCGTGGCACTTCGAGGCCACGTCGTACGAGGAGCGGGACGCCTGGGTCCAGGTGATCGAGAGCCAGATCCTGGCCAGCCTGCAGTCCTGCGAGAGCAGCAAGAACAAGGTGGGTCTGGGTCTGGGTCGGGTCTGGGTCTGGGTCAGCATTTAGTTAGCATCGGCTAGCTCCAGTTAGCAGCAGTTAGCTCCAGTTAGCAGCTGTTAGCGTCAGCATCAGTTAGTCAGTTAGCTCTAGTTAGCATCAGTTAGCTCCAGTTAGCATCAGTTAGCTCCAGTTAGCATCAGTTCACGACAGTTAGCGTCAGTTATCACCAGTTAGCTCCATTTAGCATCAATTAGCATCAGTTCACGACAGTTAGCACCAGTTAGCGTCAGTTAGCTCCAGTTAGCATCAGTTAGCGTCAGTTACCTCCAGTTAGCATCAGTCGGCGTCAGTTAGCAGCAGTTAGCAACAGTTAGCTCAGTTAGCATCAATTAGCAGCAGTTCACGTCAGTTAGCAGCAGTTAGCGTCAGTTATCATCAGTTAGTTTCAGTTAGCTCCAGTTAGCATCAGTTAGCGTCAGTTAGCGCCAGTTAGCATCAGTTAGCTCCAGTTAGCTCCATGTAGCGTCAGTTAGCTCCAGTNCCCCGCCCTGAAAACAGAGAATCATGGGAATTTAATTATGATGGGATTGTCGACCCTGCAGGGCTCAGCGGCCGTGATTCAGAACGAAGAGGCGCTCGGAGCCGGAGCACTTCCTGCTTTATGCTCACTTTGTCCTTCGCTGGACGACTTTGACGCTCAGCTTCCACTTGTGCTGAACGTGATCCGACAGCCGGGTTCTGCCCAGCTGGAGGAAATGTGGAAAAACCATGAAATAAAAATAAAACACAATGTCCTGAAAATATTCATAAAACATCTGGTAAGGTCCTGATAAAAGGTGTCAATGAAATATTATTTAAAAAGTCTAATATCTAACAAATAGCAACAATTAGCAGAAAATATGAATAAAATGTTCAAAATAAATAAATCTATAAAATATGTTTATGAAAAAATGACAAAAACAAATAAAATATGCAAAATAAAAAAAAGAAAATGTTCAAAACACAAACAAAGCACCTGAAATATGAATCAAATAGAAATATTGATAAAAATGGATTTAAAAAATGAAGATAATATGATTTTTTTTTTTAATTAAATAAAATATCGGTAATAAAAAATAAAAAAGCAGCTTTTTTCTGGATCAAGATTCAGTTTTTCCAGAAGTTTAATTTTGAACTGAAATGTTTTTACACCGTTTTCATTCATATTTTTCCTTTTTGACATTTTTTGTGCATTTTATTCTTTATGCTCCTTTTTTTTTCTATACTTTACTCATTTTTCGTTCATATCTTCTGGACGTTTTATTCACTTGTTCTGCAGCTTTTTTCTTATTATTCACACAAAAGTCTTTTTTATTCTATTTTTAACGGATGATTTATTCACATTTTCTTCATATGTTGTTCATTCTTTTTGAATATTTATTCCGGTGATGATGCTGATGTTCTCCTGGCTGTAGCTGTGTTTACAGATATTCCTCCATATGTTGATTAAACCTGATTTATTCCTCCTGCTGCAGCTACATGCTGTCATTAAGCCTCATTAACGTTCCTTCGTTTAGCGGCTCAGACAGTCAGAGCTGGTTTCTGACCCGAACCCGTTAAATGAGCTTCAGCCCGTCGCTCAGATGCTGAACTTTCTCCTGCTGTGGACAGAACTCAGATATCTGCCTAAACCGGACTCTTAATGACGGCGGCGGCGCCTCCAGCAGCTCCGAGGTGAAACTTTTATCTTCTGCAGGAGCAGCTCTGGACACAGAAGGTGTTCTGGTCTTTTATCCAGGAAGCTTCCTGATCGGGCCGCGGGCCTCGTGCTGCTGCTTCCTGTCGACGGGCTCATTGATTATCCGAAACGCCGCCGCCGGTCAGACTTGGGCTCTGAGACGCTGCCAATTAGCCAAACGACGGAGAGCGGCGCGTCGACTGATTAAACCTTCGTCACGATCGGCTGCTTCGGCCTCAGAGCGCCCAGCGATTACCGGGCAGCGCCGCTTCACAGGAAGCTCAGGAATCCTGGGAATTCTGAGGCGGGCCGGAGGCGTCCTTTGATGAGGCGATTGCCCCCCTCCTACCCCTCAGCGGGGTAATTGTCAGCAGAAGGATCTGATGGTTCCCACATGTGGCCGCTAACGTGCAGCGTGGCAAAAAACATGGCGGCTTCTCAGGCCTCACGGTTAGCATCAGCGCTAACGTTAGCAGCAGAAACCAAACGGTACCAACTCAACGGTCCACCAACAGAACCAAATGTTCTGATATATAGAACGATGTAATGAGTGTTCCAGAACCGTGTTGTTAGACTTTATTCTATGTTCTGATGTTCCGGCTCCACCGTGATGCTGCCACCTCCGTGCTTCACTGTCAGGACCATGATCCACTGTGGTGGTCCTGGTCAGGTTCACACCAAACATCTGGACTCCATGTGAGCCCAACACATTGATCTCCATCTGACCAGAGGATGTTCTCCAGCATCCATCAGGCTTCTGTTCATGTTCTCTGGTGAACTTTGATGTGGAAGTTTAGCT